TCTTCAAGGATCTCACTTGAATATTTGCTACTACCACCAAGATCTGCACTAGTGGAAGCTCCAGCTGGGTGCACACCCAAAGCCTTCATTGCAACCACTACGACCCTCTTACACGTCATTGCAAGACTTTTCACGGAAAATACAAGCATATGACGGCAGAGTATAGGTGGCCCGCTCCAGCGCCATCCATTTTCAGGGCTAGTTGATTCGGCAGGTGAGTTGTTACACACTCCTTAGCGGATTCCGACTTCCATGGCCACCGTCCTGCTGTCTGTATCAACCAACACCTTTTATGGTGTCTAATGAGCGGGCACTTTGGCACCTCAACTCCGCGTTTGGTTCATCCCACATCGCCAGTTCTGCTTACCAAAAATGGCCCACTTGGAACTCGTATTCAACGCCAAAGTTCAAAATCAAGCAACTTTGACATCATACCCATTTAGAGTTTGAGAATAGGTTAAGAACATTTCGTTCCCAAGTCCTCTAATCATTCGCTTTACCGAGTATAACTTCTAATGAGCTCCAGCTATCCTGGGGGAAACTTCAGAGGGAACCAGCTACTAGATGGTTCGATTAGTCTTTCGCCCCTATACCCAAGTCAGACGATCGATTTGCACGTCAGAACCGCTTCGGACTTCCACCAGAGTTTCCTCTGGCTTCGTCCTGCTCAGGAATAGTTCACCATCTTTCGGGTCTCACCGCGTACGCTCTTCCTCCACCCTACTGTAAACAGTTAGAATGGGGCCATGCTGCCCTTTTTTACAAGATCTCACATCAGACTCTAAAGAGCCATTTACTTTCATTTCGCTTTTAGGTTTTTAACACCCAAAAACTTGCGCACACGATAAACTCCTTGGTCCGTGTTTCAAGACGGGTCGGATAGATGACCGGCTTTTACATGGGGAGCGAGTACGAGAGCATTAACTGGACCGATCTAAATGAAAAGCACGTGTCGCATGCGACCGTAACTTACAATCAGATCGAACCAATAAATGCCCGTAAGCCATACTCAAATGTCCAAGACAAAAGATGCTAACGCTGTTTGGGTACCAGCAAGCTGGCCTCAAAACGGCGGTTACAAATCTGCCTCAAACATCCCCAAGCACCAAACAAGCAAATGCATCACAGAAAATTATGATGCTTCTTTCTGTCCCAATCTGGAGCTCAGAGATCACAACATAAAAATAATGTAAATGAATACTTGAAAGATACGCCGACTCTATCCGTTTCCACCTCTCCGGTTTCACGTCCTCTTTAACTCTCTCTTCAAAGTGCTTTGCAACTTTCCTTCACAGTACTTGTTTGCTATCGGTCTCGTGGCAATATTGAGTCTTAGATGAAGTTTACCACCGACTTTGGGCTGCGATCCCAAACAACCCGACTCTAAAGCACGTAAATATCGATCAATTATCTCAATGTACAGGACTTGCACCTTCTGTGGAACCCCTGTCAAGGGGACTTATTTGAGACAAAAGATTAAAAATTACGGCTTATACGCTACACCTCATAATGCCTTAGGCAAAATGATTTAGCGATGGACATTTCCCTATTCACTCGCCGTTACTAGGGGAATCCTGTTTAGTTTCTTTTCCTCCGCTTACTGATATGCTTAAGTTCAGCGGGTGCTCTCGACTGAGTTCAGGTCAAAAAATCAATATTGTTGATGATACATGCGAACAATTAAACATATCTAACAATCAATTTAAAACATAAAGAAGCCACAAAAGCAATTATACAATAAAGCTTTCGCTTTGAAAGATAATGACCCTGAACCAGACATAGCAAAGGGTTTGACCCCTATGCGGCAATATGCGTTCAAAACTTTTATGCTCAAGGCTGCTGCAGTTCGCAAAACTTATCGCAGTTTGCTGCGTTCTTCATCGATCCACGAGCCTAGTGATCCACCGGAAAGGCTAGGAATTTTGTTTTTTTTAAAATATAAAAAAAGAGTGCTGGCGTCCTCACTTAAGAGGCTCATTAAGTCTTAAACTCATTATAGTCCTAACATGTCACCACATATACAGCCACGGACGTTCACAACTGTATCAGCAACACCTAGACACCAGCGACAGCCGTTACACAACAATTATTTCATTGCGATTCAAAATTGAACATCACATAAAGTAATGATCCAGCAGCAGGTTCACCTACAGCTACCTTGTTACGACTTTTGCCCGGTTCAAGCCACTGCGATTAAATTGGTTTCCATCAAAATAATTTAGATAAATTAAATCAACGGTCCCCAAATTTCTCGAAATGGCTCAGTCCCGGGCAGCGACGGGCGGTGTGTACAAAGGGCAGGGACGTAATCAACGCGAGCTGATGACTCGCACTTACTTGGAATTCCTCGTTCACGGAAAATAATTGCAATTTCCGATCCCAATCACGGCAAATTTTCAATGGTTTACCCGCCCCTTTCAGGGTAGGACAAGCACGTTGATTTTGCCAGTGTAGCGCGCGTGCAGCCCCGGACATCTAAGGGCATCACAGACCTGTTATTGCTCAATTTCTTTCGGCTGAACGCCGCAAATCCCTCTAAGAAGCTGTATACACAAAGAGTATGTACCAACTATTTAGTAGGTTAGAGTCTCGCTCGTTATCGGAATAAACCAGACAAATCACTCCACGAACTAAGAACGGCCATGCACCACCATCCACTGAATCATGAAAAAGCTATCAATCTGTCAATCCTCACAGTGTCCGGGCCGGGTGAGTTTCCCCGTGTTGAGTCAAATTAAGCCGCAGGCTCCACTCCTGGTGGTGCCCTTCCGTCAATTCCTTTAAGTTTCAGCTTTGCAACCATACTTCCCCCGGAACCGGAAGACTTTCGTTTCCGGGAAGCTCCCCACCAAGGCAATATAATTTCCATCAGCGGATCGCTAGTTGGCATCGTTTACGGTCAGAACTAGGGCGGTATCTGATCGCCTTCGAACCTCTGACTTTCGTTCTTGATTAATGAAGACATTCTTGGCAAATGCTTTCGCTGTAGTTTGTCTGGCCACGGTCCAAGAATTTCACCTCTCACGGGGCCATACAAATGCCCCCGTTTGTCTCTGTTAACCATTATCTCAGTCCGTAAAACCAATAAAACTGAACCGAAATCGTTTTCTATTATTCCATGCACGATCATTCAAGCGAAAACGCCTGTTTGAAGCACTCTGATTTGTTCAAAGTAAACTTGCATTTTTATTGCCTGGGGGAACCCTTTTTATTGCCTGGGGGAACCCTATTACCCTACGACACTTGGTCAATTGCACTTTGGTCTACTTTGCCTGAGGCAATTTTTAATCGGATCGTCACAGACTCATAAACCAAAAATGCCTGGTGAAATTTGATTGCCTGGGGGAACCCTATTACCCTACGACACTCGGTCAATTGCACTTTGGTCTACTTTGCCTGAGGCAATTTTTAATCGGATCGTCACAGACTCATAAACCAAAAATGCCTGGTGAAATTTGATTGCCTGGGGGAACCCTATTACCCTACGACACTTGGTCAATTGCACTTTGGTCTACTTTGCCTGAGGTCAATTGCACTTTGGTCTACTTTGCCTGAGGCAATTTTTAATCGGATCGTCACAGACTCATAAACCAAAAATGCCTGGTGAAATTTGATTGCCTGGGGGAACCCTATTACCCTACGACACTTGGTCAATTGCACTTTGGTCTACTTTGCCTGAGGCAATTTTTAATCGGATCGTCACAGACTCATAAACCAAAAATGCCTGGTGAAATTTGATTGCCTGGGGGAACCCTATTACCCTACGACACTTGGTCAATTGCACTTTGGTCTACTTTGCCTGAGGCAATTTACCGCGTTGAAAGCACGCCATCCCGTCCGATCTGGCAAGTTAAGCAACGCTGGGCTTCCTTAGTACTTGGAACGGAGACGTCCTGGGAATCGGGGGTGTCGTAATCTTTTTTTAATGCACTTTGGTCTACTTTGCCTGAGGCAATTTTTAATCGGATCGTCACAGACTCATAAACCAAAAATGCCTGGTGAAATTTGATTGCCTGGGGACACCTGCGTTACAATTTGACAGATGTACCGCCCCAGTCAAACTCCCCGTCTGACAATGTCAACGGCGCGAGTCAACCAACCACCGAGTGGCTAGTCTTAAAACAAAAATGAAGGTCCGTAGACACAACTCCCGTTTTACCGATTAAGTAAGGAATCGATGAAAGTAGTGGTATTTCACTGTTGTCTTACGACTCCCACTTATGCTACACCTCTCATGATTCTTCACAAAGTCAGACTAGAGTCAAGCTCAACAGGGTCTTCTTTCCCCGCTAAATTTGCCAAGCCCGTTCCCTTGGCTGTGGTTTCGCTAGATAGTAGATAGGGACAGTGGGAATCTCGTTGATCCATTCGTGCGCGTCGGTAGTTAGCCGACGAGGCATTTGGCTACCTTAAGAGAGTCATAGTTACTCCCGCCGTTTACCCGCGCTTAATCAAGTTTCCTTGGCTTAACATTCAGAGCACTGGGCAGAAATCAGACACGGTCAACGTCCTGCAAAGACCATCCGTCTCCTCTGTTTTAATTAGACAGTCGGATTCCCGGAGTTCGTGCCAGTTCTAAACTGGTTGTTCAGCGCCAATCGAAGTACTATATCTTGCGAAATAGTACGCAGCAACTTTGACATCATACCCATTTAGAGTTTGAGAATAGGTTTGACCCCTATGCGGCAATATGCGTTCAAAACTTTTATGCTCAAGGCTGCTGCAGTTCGCAAAACTTATCGCAGTTTGCTGCGTTCTTCATCGATCCACGAGCCTAGTGATCCACCGGAAAGGCTAGGAATTTTGTTTTTTTTAAAATATAAAAAAAGAGTGCTGGCGTCCTCACTTAAGAGGCTCATTAAGTCTTAAACTCATTATAGTCCTAACATGTCACCACATATACAGCCACGGACGTTCACAACTGTATCAGCAACACCTAGACACCAGCGACAGCCGTTACACAACAATTATTTCATTGCGATTCAAAATTGAACATCACATAAAGTAATGATCCAGCAGCAGGTTCACCTACAGCTACCTTGTTACGACTTTTGCCCGGTTCAAGCCACTGCGATTAAATTGGTTTCCATCAAAATAATTTAGATAAATTAAATCAACGGTCCCCAAATTTCTCGAAATGGCTCAGTCCCGGGCAGCGACGGGCGGTGTGTACAAAGGGCAGGGACGTAATCAACGCGAGCTGATGACTCGCACTTACTTGGAATTCCTCGTTCACGGAAAATAATTGCAATTTCCGATCCCAATCACGGCAAATTTTCAATGGTTTACCCGCCCCTTTCAGGGTAGGACAAGCACGTTGATTTTGCCAGTGTAGCGCGCGTGCAGCCCCGGACATCTAAGGGCATCACAGACCTGTTATTGCTCAATTTCTTTCGGCTGAACGCCGCAAATCCCTCTAAGAAGCTGTATACACAAAGAGTATGTACCAACTATTTAGTAGGTTAGAGTCTCGCTCGTTATCGGAATAAACCAGACAAATCACTCCACGAACTAAGAACGGCCATGCACCACCATCCACTGAATCATGAAAAAGCTATCAATCTGTCAATCCTCACAGTGTCCGGGCCGGGTGAGTTTCCCCGTGTTGAGTCAAATTAAGCCGCAGGCTCCACTCCTGGTGGTGCCCTTCCGTCAATTCCTTTAAGTTTCAGCTTTGCAACCATACTTCCCCCGGAACCGGAAGACTTTCGTTTCCGGGAAGCTCCCCACCAAGGCAATATAATTTCCATCAGCGGATCGCTAGTTGGCATCGTTTACGGTCAGAACTAGGGCGGTATCTGATCGCCTTCGAACCTCTGACTTTCGTTCTTGATTAATGAAGACATTCTTGGCAAATGCTTTCGCTGTAGTTTGTCTGGCCACGGTCCAAGAATTTCACCTCTCACGGGGCCATACAAATGCCCCCGTTTGTCTCTGTTAACCATTATCTCAGTCCGTAAAACCAATAAAACTGAACCGAAATCGTTTTCTATTATTCCATGCACGATCATTCAAGCGAAAACGCCTGTTTGAAGCACTCTGATTTGTTCAAAGTAAACTTGCAATGACTGTTAAAAATCCTGTTAAGGACTCAAAACCGAACATTACGATAAATCGATAACACCCAGAAACACCCGAAGGGTTCCAAGGTACCGATACGAATCCAACTACGAGCTTTTTAACCGCAGCAATAATTCTATGTATTAGCAGAGCTGGAATTACCGCGGCTGCTGGCACCAGACTTGCCCTCTGCTTGATACTCGTTAAAGGGTTTAAATTGTACCCATTCCGATGACCGGCCTCAAAGAGAACAGTCTCGTTATTTCTCGTCACTACCTCCTCGAGCCGAGAGTGGGTAATTTGCGCGCCTGCTGCCATCCTTAGACGTAGTGGCCATTTCTCAGGCCCCTTCTCCGGAGTCGAACCCTGATCCTCCGTTATCCGTCACCACCACGGGAGTCGATTATGCTCCCGTCAAGTTGATAAAGTGGACGCTTGAAAGACACGCCGCCGGCACAAGGCCATGCGGTCAGCTTAGTTATTCTGAGTCAACAAGAAGCAGCCGAAGCCGCGTGGTTTTGTTCTAATAAATGCGCTTTTCCGAGAGGACAAAGCTCTGGTGCATGTATTAGCTCTAGCTTTTCCACAGTTATCCATTTAGATAATCAAGATCAAGTAAATCATGGCCATTGTAATGAGCCGTTCGCGGTTTCTCGTTAAAACGATTAAACTTATACATGCATGGCTTAATCTTTGAAATGAACACATCAGTTCAGGCAGGATCAACCAGATATCTTTTATTTAGGTAGTTAGCAGAGCTGGAATTACCCAGTCTGCGGGTAATTAAGCTGTCATTAATATTGATTATATTGATAATTTTAGAATAAAATCTCGAAAATAATCTGAAATTAAAAAATTAATGACAGCTTATTATATATTTAATTTCCTTTGCAAAAGATATCTAAATTATTTACAATTTATCAGCGGCACTTTCACAAAAGTTATCAATGGCAATTCCTGACAATTGTCTGGAGCCAAATAAATATTGCAGCTGGAGAAAAATTAGGATTATAAAGCTTATGATTATTATCAGATTTAGAATAAAGCTGCTTTAAAATATCTGATAATAAAGCTTAAAATAATAATAACATTAAATTTTTTAAAAAAATAAAGCTTATAATAATAAACTTTAAATTTAAAAAAAGATTAAAGTTTATTATTATAAGCTTTATTTTTTTTGAAAAATTTAATTCTTCAAAAAAATTTTTTTAATCCTAATTTTTCTCCCACACATTTTTATAATTGCCCGTTTTCTCTTTGCCTTAAACCATTCCCGCGAACAGCGAACAACAAATAGCCCCGCCCACTTTGCCTTAGAGAATTTTTTCTTAAATATTGAGAAATTGAAAACACAGTGATTACGACCATACCGCGTTGAAAGCACGCCATCCCGTCCGATCTGGCAAGTTAAGCAACGCTGGGCTTCCTTAGTACTTGGAACGGAGACGTCCTGGGAATCGGGGGTGTCGTAATCTTTTTTTAATGCTTTGGCAAAAATTTGAGTCTAAGAAAACACACTTGAGTCTATAGAAAAAATTATTTAAGTTTTTTATAAATTGTAGTTTATCATGTACATACCTTTTACTTGAGTATAATTGAGTAGATAATGATTGCCTGGGGGAACCCTATATTATATACATACCTTTTACTTGAGTATAATTGAGTAAATGATTTTATACTTGAGTAAATGATTTTTACTTGAGTATACTTGAGTAGATAATTATTGCCTGGGGGAACCCTATTACCCTACGACACTTGGTCAATTGCACTTTGGTCTACTTTGCCTGAGGCAATTTTTAATCGGATCGTCACAGACTCATAAACCAAAAATGCCTGGTGAAATTTGATTGCCTGGGGGAACCCTATTACCCTACGACACTTGGTCAATTGCACTTTGGTCTACTTTGCCTGAGGCAATTTTTAATCGGATCGTCACAGACTCATAAACCAAAAATGCCTGGTGAAATTTGATTGCCTGGGGGAACCCTATTACCCTACGACACTTGGTCAATTGCACTTTGGTCTACTTTGCCTGAGGTCAATTGCACTTTGGTCTACTTTGCCTGAGGCAATTTTTAATCGGATCGTCACAGACTCATAAACCAAAAATGCCTGGTGAAATTTGATTGCCTGGGGGAACCCTATTACCCTACGACACTTGGTCAATTGCACTTTGGTCTACTTTGCCTGAGGCAATTTTTAATCGGATCGTCACAGACTCATAAACCAAAAATGCCTGGTGAAATTTGATTGCCTGGGGGAACCCTATTACCCTACGACACTTGGTCAATTGCACTTTGGTCTACTTTGCCTGAGGCAATTTTTAATCGGATCGTCACAGACTCATAAACCAAAAATGCCTGGTGAAATTTGATTGCCTGGGGGAACCCTATTGCCTGAACCCTACGACACTTGGTCAATTGCACTTTGCTACTTTGCCTGAGGCAATTTTTAATCGGATCGTCACAGACTCATAAACCAAAAATGCCTGGTGAAATTTGATTGCCTGGGGGAACCCTATTGCCTGAACCCTACGACACTTGGTCAATTGCACTTTGGTCTACTTTGCCTGAGGCAATTTTTAATCGGATCGTCACAGACTCATAAACCAAAAATGCCTGGTGAAATTTGATTGCCTGGGGGAACCCTATTGCCTGAACCCTACGACACTTGGTCAATTGCACTTTGGTCTACTTTGCCTGAGGCAATTTTTAATCGGATCGTCACAGACTCATAAACCAAAAATGCCTGGTGAAATTTGATTGCCTGGGGGAACCCTATTGCCTGAACCCTACGACACTTGGTCAATTGCACTTTGGTCTACTTTGCCTGAGGCAATTTTTAATCGGATCGTCACAGACTCATAAACCAAAAATGCCTGGTGAAATTTGATTGCCTGGGGGAACCCTATTGCCTGAACCCTACGACACTTGGTCAATTGCACTTTGGTCTACTTTGCCTGAGGCAATTTTTAATCGGATCGTCACAGACTCATAAACCAAAAATGCCTGGTGAAATTTGATTGCCTGGGGGAACCCTATTGCCTGAACCCTACGACACTTGGTCAATTGCACTTTGGTCTACTTTGCCTGAGGCAAATAGTACGCAGCTGAAGCGCTCCACAGCTCTTTCGAAATAGTACGCAGCTGAAGCGCTCCACAAGCAGTCCTCACTACTAGTCCACAAGCGCCGCCCCGAAGGGAAGATCAAGCAGCCACGAGCAAAGTCCACCTGTTTCACACAACAGCCCGACTGACCCAACCTTTAGAGCCAATTCTTTTCCCGAAGTTACGAATCTAATTTGCCGACTTCCCTTACCTACATTATTCTATCGACTAGAGGCTGTTCACCTTGGAGACCTGCTGCGGATATGGGTACGATCAGGCAGGAGATTTTAAATTGCCTCCCTCGTATTTTCACGGCTCATGTGGAGCACACGGGACACAACAGGAACCGCTGCGCTTTACGAGACCAGCATCCCTATCTCAGGCTGAGCCACTTCCAGGGACATGATCTCTAAACCAGAAAAGAGAACTCTGGCCCGGACTCCACACGAGGTCTACGAGTTCGTTTGCGTCACCGCGCAAAGTAATCCTTGCGGATCACCATCTCCCATGCCTGGTGTGGGAATATTAACCCACTTCCCTTTCGGCAACCGAGTAGACAATATACCGTTAAGTATCTCATCTCCCCGCAGTGTCTAGACGGCTTTAGCCGGTGCCTTAGGATCGACTGACCCACATTCAACTACTGTTCACGTGGAACCCTTCTCCACTTCAGTCTTCAAGGATCTCACTTGAATATTTGCTACTACCACCAAGATCTGCACTAGTGGAAGCTCCAGCTGGGTGCACACCCAAAGCCTTCATTGCAACCACTACGACCCTCTTACACGTCATTGCAAGACTTTTCACGGAAAATACAAGCATATGACGGCAGAGTATAGGTGGCCCGCTCCAGCGCCATCCATTTTCAGGGCTAGTTGATTCGGCAGGTGAGTTGTTACACACTCCTTAGCGGATTCCGACTTCCATGGCCACCGTCCTGCTGTCTGTATCAACCAACACCTTTTATGGTGTCTAATGAGCGGGCACTTTGGCACCTCAACTCCGCGTTTGGTTCATCCCACATCGCCAGTTCTGCTTACCAAAAATGGCCCACTTGGAACTCGTATTCAACGCCAAAGTTCAAAATCAAGCAACTTTGACATCATACCCATTTAGAGTTTGAGAATAGGTTAAGAACATTTCGTTCCCAAGTCCTCTAATCATTCGCTTTACCGAGTATAACTTCTAATGAGCTCCAGCTATCCTGGGGGAAACTTCAGAGGGAACCAGCTACTAGATGGTTCGATTAGTCTTTCGCCCCTATACCCAAGTCAGACGATCGATTTGCACGTCAGAACCGCTTCGGACTTCCACCAGAGTTTCCTCTGGCTTCGTCCTGCTCAGGAATAGTTCACCATCTTTCGGGTCTCACCGCGTACGCTCTTCCTCCACCCTACTGTAAACAGTTAGAATGGGGCCATGCTGCCCTTTTTTACAAGATCTCACATCAGACTCTAAAGAGCCATTTACTTTCATTTCGCTTTTAGGTTTTTAACACCCAAAAACTTGCGCACACGATAAACTCCTTGGTCCGTGTTTCAAGACGGGTCGGATAGATGACCGGCTTTTACATGGGGAGCGAGTACGAGAGCATTAACTGGACCGATCTAAATGAAAAGCACGTGTCGCATGCGACCGTAACTTACAATCAGATCGAACCAATAAATGCCCGTAAGCCATACTCAAATGTCCAAGACAAAAGATGCTAACGCTGTTTGGGTACCAGCAAGCTGGCCTCAAAACGGCGGTTACAAATCTGCCTCAAACATCCCCAAGCACCAAACAAGCAAATGCATCACAGAAAATTATGATGCTTCTTTCTGTCCCAATCTGGAGCTCAGAGATCACAACATAAAAATAATGTAAATGAATACTTGAAAGATACGCCGACTCTATCCGTTTCCACCTCTCCGGTTTCACGTCCTCTTTAACTCTCTCTTCAAAGTGCTTTGCAACTTTCCTTCACAGTACTTGTTTGCTATCGGTCTCGTGGCAATATTGAGTCTTAGATGAAGTTTACCACCGACTTTGGGCTGCGATCCCAAACAACCCGACTCTAAAGCACGTAAATATCGATCAATTATCTCAATGTACAGGACTTGCACCTTCTGTGGAACCCCTGTCAAGGGGACTTATTTGAGACAAAAGATTAAAAATTACGGCTTATACGCTACACCTCATAATGCCTTAGGCAAAATGATTTAGCGATGGACATTTCCCTATTCACTCGCCGTTACTAGGGGAATCCTGTTTAGTTTCTTTTCCTCCGCTTACTGATATGCTTAAGTTCAGCGGGTGCTCTCGACTGAGTTCAGGTCAAAAAATCAATATTGTTGATGATACATGCGAACAATTAAACATATCTAACAATCAATTTAAAACATAAAGAAGCCACAAAAGCAATTATACAATAAAGCTTTCGCTTTGAAAGATAATGACCCTGAACCAGACATAGCAAAGGGTTTGACCCCTATGCGGCAATATGCGTTCAAAACTTTTATGCTCAAGGCTGCTGCAGTTCGCAAAACTTATCGCAGTTTGCTGCGTTCTTCATCGATCCACGAGCCTAGTGATCCACCGGAAAGGCTAGGAATTTTGTTTTTTTTAAAATATAAAAAAAGAGTGCTGGCG